AATTTAAAGTCTTTTATCTTGTCCAGTACATATATAAAATTATATTTTAAATTAATTATTATAATTTAAATTTATATTATTATATTAATAAAATAATTATTTAATATATTAATTTAATAAAAATATTATATTTATATATAATTAAGATATAATACATCCATCATATAAATTTTATTCATTTTTATTTTTGTTTGACCTTTATTTAAGGTGTTGACATCATATCATATGTTTTTTATATTTTTCCTTTTTTGTCAACTTTTTTAAAAAATTTTTGCTTTTAATTTAGATAAATTTAAAAAAAAAAAAAAAACCCAATGGAGATTTTCGCACATGACATTTTTTGACATTTTTTCTTTTTCATTTTTTTGTTTATTTTAATTAGATAAATTTTGTAATAAAAAGTATCAATTGATAGAGATGATAAAGTAATCTATATTCATTGGGTTTCGACCCATCCCCACATGATAAGGGTTTGAATCATAATTGAGTTAGGACAAATTCAGTTTTTTTATAAGATAGATATTGGGACAAAAGTATCTTTAGGGTATTTTATCCTGACTTATTTCAATGAATAAGTTATATATATTATTATTTTTAATTTTATATTTATATATATTATATTAATAAAATTATTATTTGAAACTTTAATTAATAAATTAATATTTTAGAATGTTACAGTCTGTAAGTTGGTCCAGGCTCAAAGGTTTTCTCAAAGTTAGTGATAATTCCAATTCTAACGAGACAGAGTTTGATAGTTAGGGGGACCAAGTCTTAAGGTACACTAGAGGTTCAGGTCATGAAAAACTGGTCTAAAATAATGATGCTAGCAATGATTAAAACTCCAAAGACTCAAGCAAAGTGTTCAGGTTCGACAAAAAGCCAGACCTTGGTGCGGGCACTAGTGATCAATGTACGGCCACATAGTTAGACACAGGTACGAACATTGATGATTAAGGTGAGAGCATGCAATCAGACCCAGGTGCATGCCTGGCTGAACACAATCTTGGGAAAATCAGATTTAGGGGCTTTTAGAAAGCCTAGTGCTTAGCATAATTTCAATAGGTCAAAGATCGTGCTATAAAGTATCCACATTGTACCATTTATGAGCTCTTTTTTTATTTTTTATATTCATGTATCACTCTTATTTACTTTTTCACCTTTCGTCTTTTTTTTTTTTCAATTAAGTAAACTTTATAAATGGCAAAACAAAAAAAATTTGGCCCGCGGCAATGCGCGAGTATTAGCTAGTTATTATTACCATTGCTGCAGCATTAATTTTTTATGATTTTTTTACATAATTAAAAATCTAATCTAAAAATGTTAGAATAGTGACTCAAATCTCATAAAAGATTTGATTGAGATTTTTTGGACATTGACGAGATATTACTTTATGCATAAAAAAACTTATACGAAAATAATTTTAAAAAAAAGATTCGTGATAGACAAGCTAATAAACTTATAAATAATGAGGGTCTTTATAAGGTTAAGTATGAAAAACAGATGTAAAAAAAATTATAGGGTTTTATTAAATAGACACCTCATAAGATTAGAAGAGATTGAATGGGTCCTTATGGGTGTGTAAGTTTGAGTAGATTAGAAAAAAATAAGAAGGTCCACATAAATATAATAAGCCATATGGGTATGTGTTTGTTTGGTTGAAAATACTATATAGGACTGAAGGAGAATGAGAGGGTCATGTATATTGATTGTGAATAAATGTTGATTGTTTTGATCTGTTGTAATTCTTTACAACTAATGGATTTTTTTTCATCCGTTGACATAAACTAGTTAAGTTAAACCAAGTTAAATTATTGTCTCTTGAGTGATTGATTTATTGTTTGATTTTGCTTCCACTGACTTGAATGTTTAATTGATTGGGGCTTTTTGCCTAATAATTGGAATCAAAATTATCGTGATCCTAACAACTAGTATTAGAGCTATGTTTGAAGTAGATGTGAATGGGATTCCTAACAACTAGTATCAAAACGAGATTTGAGGCATGAGAATAAGTAAGCCTATAGGAGCTCAATTTGAGAAAGAGTTTAAATTCATGCGTCGAGAAATCAGTTTACATGAAATGATGAAGACACACAAAAAAATATTGCTACAAAACTTTCATTGCATAAGGACCTACACATGTTTAACATGAAGAATGATGATATGATCGAATTTAAATCAATGTCGGGATTATTGGGATAATAACTCAAATCTCATAAAAGATTTGATTGAAATTTTTTTTTTGAGATTGACTAAATATTGTTTAATGGATTAAAAGACTTGAAAGAGAAGAATTCTAAGAGGAAGAGAATTCTTGATAGGCAAGTTAATAGCTTATAAATAGTGAAGTTCTCTATAGGGTTATGTATGAGAAAAATATATAAGAGAGTTATAGGGTTTTATTTAGATAGAGACCTCATAAGACAAGGAGATTGAGAGGATCCTTATAGGTGTGTATGTTTGAGCAACTAGAAGAGAATGAGAGGTTTCATATAATTATGGTGAACCATATAGACATGTGTTACTTTGTGTTGAGAATACTACATAGGATTAGAAGAGAATAAGAGTCTATGAGTATTATTTGGGATTAAGTGTTTTATTTGATGTGTTTGTAATTTCTATAACTTAACTAGTAATCTTTTTTTTTATTGTGGACATAAGGTTATTGGAATGAATTATGTTAAATTGTTATCTCTTGTATGATTGCTTGATTATTTAATTATACTTCCGCTCACTTGATTATTTAATTGATTGAAGATTTTTTCCTAATAACTGAAATCAAAGTTATCATTATGTTAACAACTAATATTAGAGCTACTTTCGAAACTTGGGATGAGATTCCTATAATAATAAATAAAAAAAAAAAAAACAGTTGTAGAACTCATTCTGACATGTGTGCATTATTAGTTGGTTTCATGATACTTTCATCCATGAATGGAGAATAAGAAACTATTAGATTCACTTTTATGTTGAAACTAATCTGATCAGTCATAATTTTAATAGTAAGATAAATGACACAACCCCACAAAGAAATTAATGAGAACCTGAAATGAAAGATGAAAACTATTTCGAGGGAGATTACTATTGAAATTTGTAGTTTTGTTAGGAACCTAAGTCTTATCAGTATTCTCACTCTTGCACTAAATGGCCTATGCATCACATGATTCCAAGCTTCCTTTTCTGTATTCAAAAATAAAATAAAACAAAACACAGCTCTCTTGTGATTGTGTTTGTGTGTTGGTTTCTCTTATTAATTAAGAAATCTTTTGCTTTTAAACACTGTTATGTTCTGATGACGAATTGTTTTAGGTAGGCAATGAATTTTGCCAATTTGGCCGCCCCTTTCTTCCTACATATACTTTCTGAAATGAAACATCTTCTGCCTCAATGAAATGACTAGCTTGTCGCCTACCAACAATGCAATGCCAATTCTACCTTTCTCTTTTGTCAACTAAATTTGGAAAACAAGAACCCACTTTTCTCTTCTAATAAATTGCAAAATTTATGCACAAAAATTTGAGCTTAAACATCTAAATTAATCATTCAAATCGAGTTTTCAGTATAATCAAAATGTTTAAGCAATTATGATTACCAAATTAACTCATCTGCCACTAGTTTTTACTTGCTGTGGCTGACCATAGAAACAAAGTTTGTGCCCGGAGTGCCCCATCGGGTGGTCTCTGCAATGATAATTTCAACACTGTTGTCTTTCAAAAAATCTAAGCTCTAGGGAGATAAGACCATGTCAACAGTTTGGGTTCTGTGAAACTTTTTTGAAAACATATGAAGGCAAAGAATTATTTAGGAAGAAAAAACAGACATCTTCACCACCATACAAGGAAAAAACACGAGACCTCCATTGCATGTGCATTAACTGAGCTTCGAAGCAATGAATTAAAGCTGATTGTCATTTTAACATTGATAATCTCACTTTTGGGGTTGGGATAATGCGCAATGTCGTAATTCTTCTCTTCCCACTTTGACCCTTTTATTTGTAATTTCTCTCTTTTTAAATTCTTTCTAATTTTTTACATAAAAGAATGCAATTTGAAAATAATATATATATATATTAATATTCGAATTTTAAATATATTAAATATCACTTTAAAAATGTGACAACAGATACAAATAATTTAGTAGACCCTGAATACGAGAAGTTGAGATAATTATTTTATTGGACGAAAGAAAAGCAGTTTCAACAATTTGTGAGGCTAAATCTCCTAGGATCTCCCGGGCTTATAATGCCTAAAATTGATAAAATGACCTTGTGATAAATAAGACCATATGTTTGGACTTCTTTCAAGGACCTACCCCACCTGTGTTAGGCTAATATACAATATTTGGACCATTTGAAGTTTTCAATCATAAAATGGGCCAGAATGGATCTTAGTTTAAAAGGAACAAAACAAGATCGGCAAATTCAACAGACGATAACTGTCCTAAAATTTTCTGGCCCAACCGTTGTGGTCTAATTTAATTCTATGTCCGGCCTTGATTATTTTGTCAAATTTGGAGTATTTATTGAATGAAATTAATTATTAAAGCTTTAATAATTAATAATAGAAAGTTTTCAGTATAAACTCCACTCTCCAGTCTCCGCCAACAACTCCAGAACTCTAAATTTCAGATAAGGCAAAAAATCGTATAATTATAGTAGTATCAAAATAATAATAGTAGAAATATACAGATAAATACATATAAATACGTATAAAATATTGTAAAAAACTGATTAAGGGATATTTATATACATTGGTTAAAAGTAATTGAATTACTATTTTATAAAGATTTTTGTATTTAATAAATTGTTTTCATCAAATTTATAAAAGTAATATTAATTATATTTTTTAAAATATAACACGGTTTGCCATTTTCCTTTCTTGTATTACATTACCTAAAATAAAGGAAAAATTTTACCATTATCTCATTGAAAAAGGAAAATTTTGCAATAAGAAAAGATAAACACAACACAAAAATTAGTATGCAACTCAATGATCACAAAAAAATTATAAAAAATATACCAATATTCCATCTTCTTTGTCTCCTCTTTTGCCATACCCAACTGGAATAGGGATAACTACTTTGATGGGTACGTATCTTTTACAGACAACAAGGATATGGTGAATGATTCCAGCAAAGATTTCAGCAAAAATAGAAAAGCTTTCTAGGATCACAAATTCCCCCAAAACAGTAAATTTCTCCAAAACAGCCACGAGCGTGCCACGCTCCCACCCACCATTTCCACATCTTCACCATGGTCCCACCCCATCTTAGCCCCCATTTTCGTTGCTCTGCTCTCCCCCATCTTTTTAACTCCCTCTCTTCACCTCTAAAACAAAAAAAAAAAAAAAAAAAAAAAGAACAGCAAAACTCAAAACCCTTCAACCAATTCTTATTCTTTCCCTGTTTGCAAAAGTCTCTGCTTTTCTTTTCCCATTGCATCAAAGAAGAGAAATTTCCATATTCTTTTAAGCCATGTTACTGAAAGCTGCTCCAGCCTTTTCTTTGTTAAACCCTCAGCCAGAGAATCGGGGTCCTCCCCTGTTTTCCTCCGTTTCTTCATCTCAAACCCCTCTTTTCAATTATCTTTCTTCTTTAATTCTTCGACTTTCTTCTCCAAGACATGGAACTGGGGCTGTTGTAGTTTGCGCAACCAAAGGATCTAACAACAAGCCACTAACAGGTGTCGTTTTCGAGCCCTTTGAGGAAGTGAAAAAGGAGCTTGATCTTGTACCAACTGTGCCTCAAGTTTCTTTGGCTCGTCAAAAGTTTACTGATGAGTGTGAAGCTGCTATCAACGAACAAATCAAGTGGGTTCTTTTTCTTTTAGATTTTAAGTCCTCTGTCTTGAAAAAAAAAAAAAGTTTCTTGTTTATATTTCCTTATGGTGTCAGATTTAAGATTCTTCAAAAAGATGGTTCTTTTAATCTTTCATCTTCTTATTTGTGTGAGAAAAGAAATTAGATTTTTTTTTCAAGATTCTTTTTCTGTCCCTTTAAAGAATGAATTTTGTAAAGGATTTTTGAATGTTTGTTTGATTTTGATACATGCTTCCTTGTAAAGATGAATTCGGGCTTATATCTTATAACTATGGTTTTGTAAAGGATTTATATATGCTTTATGTTCTAATGCTTTGTGCATTTCTTTTGGATGACAGTGTCGAATACAATGTCTCCTATGTGTACCATGCTATGTTTGCCTACTTCGATAGGGACAACGTCGCGCTCAATGGTCTTGCCAAGTAAGTCTTCTTGAAAATTATCGCTTTTGCTGATCCTTATGGATCGGTGGTACCCCTTTTTTGTGTTGAGCTAGCTTCTGGCTTTCTCGTGAATGGGTTCTTCAAGGAATCGAGTCTAGAAGAGAGAGAACATGCTGAGAAATTGATGGAATACCAGGTGTTTTTTTTTTTTTTTATCTTTTCTGTCTTTTGCTTATTGTTGCTGTTCTATTTCACTTTAAAATAATGTTCTTTTTTCTCTGTGATTTGTTTTCCTGATTCTCATTTGTTTATTATTCTCAGAACAAACGAGGTGGAAAAGTGAAGCTGCAGTCTATATTGATGCCCCTCTCTGAGTTTGATCATGCAGAGAAAGGAGATGCATTGTATGGTGAGTTGAAACTATTACGGCTAGATTAGTGGTTGGTTTCATAAAATGTGTTTCAATCCTTATTTGGCTGCCTTCCAGTTTTTTCTTACCTTCAGATAATAGATATTTACATGAACAAACCAATGAGATATAGATTCATGTTGCAAGCATGGAAGTATGTTTTAAATTTGTATGGTTGGTGTGATTATATATTAGAAATCTAGACAAGAAAGAGATATTTCTTAAACATTTTTAACTCCATGGAGCATTTTTTTATTTTGTGCATTATATCATCCCATCATATAAGTCAAAAGTAGCAAAAAATGTGCTTTAGGTGTTAGCATTTGCATGTAGTCAAAACTGATTGTATCTGATTCCTTGGTTCAGCAATGGAGCTTGCCTTGTCATTGGAGAAACTAACAAATGAAAAGCTCTTGAACTCGCACGGTGTAAGATATTCCTCTACCCTTTTACCATCCTGTTTTCCTTTTGCAGTTATGACTTTTGATATTCAACTTGTTAATGAGGTTTATGGTCTGATTGATTTGGTTTATGAAATCATTGGATAAAACATTGTTAAACAGCCATGCTATTTTAAATTTTAGATGTTTCTAAGACGATAGCAAATGGTTTTCTTTGAACTAATGGTCAAGGCTTTGCCAAACAGGTGGCTGAGCAGAACCATGATGTGCAGTTGACAGATTTCATTGAAGGCGAATTCTTAACCGAGCAGGTAAAATACAATTGCAGTGTCATTGTCTATACTCTTAGAAATTTGCTTTTCACAGACGTGTGAAATTAACAATGGAAATAACTTCTCATGGTTTTGATCCCGGCTTGCTTTCCCTGTAGGTGGAGGCCATCAAGAAAATATCAGAATATGTGGCTCAGTTGAGAAGAGTCGGCAAAGGACATGGTATGAATCTAAACTTCTATTCGTTGTCGTGTTTTTGTGAAAAGTGTCATCTTAACTGTATACTGTCGTGATTTCATCTTGTTCATCAATTTTTAGGCCTCATCTGTTCCTTGTTCCCTGAACTTGTTTCTTTGGTGGATATTCAGGGGTCTGGCACTTTGATCAGATGCTTCTCCATGAGGGAGTGGAAGCTATTGCATGAAACCAAACCTGCTACTTGGTTTGGTACCAAAGGTTGTCCTATAAGATCTTGTGTCAGTAGTTCGTTGTCGAGAGGTTTTTGGTTGTAAGATGTATGACTAGTTCAGAAACTGTGTTGATATTTTAAGTCCTCTTTCCAAAGTAGTTATGAAGTAATGGATTTCTTGTCATGGTATTTTTACTAAGAAATTCTTTTTTATTCATGTAGCAACATTTATGACTGTTTTTAAACCCTGCGCAGTTAGCATATAGCTCAGAGTAATGGTTTAATCATATGAAATCTCCCCGCGTTTTTATGAGTAGAAAATAAACCCAGGGTCAATAACCATTTAATTGTCAAAGTCATCAGTTTTATGTTTGCGGTGCTTGTCCGCTCTGAAAACATCGTATGCATATAGACATGCTTGCTAAACAACCAAAATCAAATCATTCTCAGAGCTGAGAAGGCCAGAAAGAACAATTCGAGAAAAAGTCTTATCAATAGATATTGACCCCTCCCTTGCTGCTCCATCTTTTGCTGCTAACAACGGGCAAAGTTTTTGACCTAAAGGATGATTAGAAGTAGAGGTGCCCGATTGGTGGATTCGGATTTTGTTCTTTTTTTTTCTTTTTATTTCAAGTTACGTAGCATTTAAATCATTTTGATTTCATATTGTTTTAAATTTATATTATTTCGGATTTAGTTCATGTATGGAAGATGCAACTATTTCATTTTAGTTTTTTTTTTCTTTTGGATTGCTTCATGTTTGGGTCGGAGCTAATTCAGATTCGGATTCATTTTACCATATTTGATTAAAGGTCTGGGTATGGCCACCAAAAATAAATACGCCAACCAAGTAAGATATGCGAGCTGAGGCGAACCAAGTTTCTCTTTCAGACCCAACAACATGGACTCATTTTATGTGACGGTTGAACATGTTGATCCCACAAAAACCCATCTAAATTTCTTGTATTTCACTTTCTTCTAAATTCTGTGGGTCCTGGATTTCGACATATTGGAGTTCGGCTTCTAGAGTTGGAAATGGGCATTCTTGTCCCCGACCACAAGCCCAATGAAGAATTGCCCTTGATTGCTCATAATGGATCCAATGAGCCAAAGAGAAACCCACTAATGCTCCACAATCGGAATTGGAAACCCACACCCTAAGAAAAGGTATTCTAAACAAGCAAACTCCAATGTATTCAGATGGTTCATTATCGTACCGCGCGAAGCACAGAATCAACATTGGCAGTTCTGAATACCCGACATGAAGAAAAGCTGAAATCCAAAATCTCTTTATTGTTCTTTCTTTTTTTCTTATATAAAATCTGTAATTTATTATTGTATACTTTTAGATGAATTACTTTTATATGTTACAGTCGATCAACAAAATATATTTTCACTTTTTTTTCAGTTTAGTTTATATTCTCCATTTTCGTCTTTTTTTCTGACAAGGTTGGTGAAGAAGATGGCTATGGCCGCTATTTTGTTGCTCTTTTAAACGCTATTTTCAATGTCAAAAGCTGATCAAGATTTTGAGTTCGTCAAACACCTCTCTGCTGTAACAAGGTCTCGCCCTCTTTCGCTCTCCGTTGAATCGTAATTTCTTTATATATATATATATATATATATATATATATATATATAAAATATTCTTTTATTTGTTTTGAGCAGATATGGTGCAGTTAGGGTTGTAAACGAGTCGAGTAGTGAGAAGCTCGAGCTCGAGCTCGACTTACAACTCGAGACTCGATACTCGGCTCGAACTCGATCGAGTTTTATTTTTTAAGTTCGAGCTCAATTCGTGATCGAATTCGAGCTACTCGAGTTCGTTCGATTAAGCTCGATTAATATGTATATAACTGATGCGTGTGAAAAACAGAAAAACGATGAAATTTTTATTGTAATGACTTATATAATATAATGAGAAGTTTATTTATATAAAGATAAAATGTTATAAAATAAAAAATATAATAAATAAAAATAATGATTAAATTAATTTTTATAATCAATTAAATCAATATTTCATATTTTTTTAAATTAATATTAAATCAATTTAAAATATTATTAGAATAATATCATCAAATAAAAAATTATCATAATATTACTAGAATATCATTGATATCTCACGTAAACTCAAGATGATAATGTAAAAGTCAACTTGAGTTTGAAAACTTACATAAAAATTTGATTAGGTGGATGTGATTTGATGAAGATATCTGTTTTTTGATCAATACTAGTAACAAGAATAAGTCGAAAAGTTTGAGCAAGCAAATAGTGACAAATGAAGTGACAGTCAGTTTCAATATATTTAGTACGCTCATGAAAACATCATGTGAGCTATCTGAATGGTACTTTGATTATCATAAAATATGAAAATACTAGAGTGATCAGAAACACCTATATCCTAAAGTAGCCATTGTAATCATAGAAATGCTAATGTGGCATCTGCAAAAGCTTGATACTTAGCTTTAGTGTTAGAATGAAACACTACAGTTTGTTTTTTATATTATTAAGAAATAAGAGAAGAACCAAAAAAGAAACAGTAGCCTATGGTAGAATGACGATCAGGATCTCCTATCCAATTAGTTTCACAATAACAATACAAGTCCAAAGAGGAACTAGAGGAAATATGTAAACCATGGAACATAGTACCCTTGACATATCGTGGGATTCGAAGAATCATAGCAAAATGAGTAGATTGAAGAGCAAACAGAAAATTGACTAACTAGATGAACACCATGGGTAATGTTTAGACAAGTAGCTATTAAGTATACGAGACTACCCACCAAAGTTTGATACAAAGAAGAGTCTAGAAGTGGTGTACCATCAAAAAGAGAAAGCTTCAAATTATGTTCAAATGGTGATGATGCAATTTTGCTATTAATTAAACCTACTCGAGCAATAAGATCAAAAGCATACTTTGTTTAAGATAAATGTAAGCCAGTAAAATCACTAGTGACTTCAAGGCCTAAAATATAACTCAAAGAACCAAGATCTTTCATCTCAAACTTAGAATGAAAAAAGTCTTCATATCTTGAATACCATTTGCATCATTACTCGTAATAATCATATCATCCACATAAAGTAAAAGAAAAGTAGTACCATTTTCAGTAGTTTGAGCAAAATGTGCAAAATCATGATTACTAAATGTAAAACCAAGTTGTGTAACAATGATACTAAACTTCGAGAACCAAGCTCTAGGGGCTTGCTTAAAATCATTTAAAGCACATCAAAAACAACAGACCATGTTAAAAGGTACAGATGAACTAGAAGGTTGCTTTAGATAGACTTATTTGATGAGATCACCATTCAAGAAGGCATTTTTAACATCTATTTGAAAGGTTGGCCATTTTCTAACTACAACAACAGCTAATTGAAATTGGTTAAGGATAATTGAAATTAGTTGTATATTTTCTCGTTGAATACTTGCCATTAAGCTCTTGAAAAAAAAAATGAAGATTTGAGAAGTTATGAGTATTGATATAAAAAATGAATCTTGAAGATAGGAAGAGAAACCCAAAAAAATTGAAGTGAGGAAGCAAAAATGAAGTTAGAAATAAGAATAAACCAAGGATGAGAATAAGCAAATATTAGTTATTCCAAGGTGATTCACCTTTGAAATGAACCATGAAATCGCTCTGATACCATGAAAAAGAAGAAAATAATGAAAAATTTATTTTAATGACTTCTATATTACAATAAGGCTTAAAGCTTATTTATACATAGGTAAAATGTTACAAAATATAAAATACAATAAATAAAAATAATGACTAAATCAATTCCTATAATCAACTAAATCAATATCTAATATTATTTAAATCAATATCAAATCAATTTAGAATATTACTAAAATATTACTAAAATAATATCATCGATCTAGAATATTATTAAAATATTACTAGAATATCATTGATAGCATGTACTCCTGTCAACTTGAATCAGAGTTGTCAAATATGATAAATTTCTTCTCGGGATCGATCCTTTAAACATTTTTTTTTTTGTAAAATAGAAAAGAATTTTTCAATTTTCATGCTTTGTTGCCTTCTATTTTTGAAATTTAAAATAAATTTATCTTGAAGTAATCGAGACAAAACATGACTGGCAACAAGCCTGTCTAGCTCGGTTGGTAGAGTGCCAGGCTCTTAATCTTGTGGTTATGGGTTTAAGCCCCACGATGGGCGTTTTCTTCTACTTTTCCTTGCTGTTTAATTCTTTTTAGGCCAAAAGTATTGTTTATAAGTTTCTGTTTCAATGGCCTATGAGCTAGGAGATGTTGACCTTGTTTAATGTTAGTACTACTTTTTATTTTTAGTAAGATATTTGTTTTATTTTTTTTTATCTGTTTAACTTATTTTTATTAGGTTTTCCTTTACTTGCAAAGTTAACTCTAAATTAGATTAATCATTGAAAATTTGTAAAATAAGGTTTAAATTTTTATGTTTCTTTGTTTTGATAGTTTAATTTAGATATTGTAGTTTTGTTATGTGAATGAGAAAGTAATTTACAAAACTGAAAAAAGGAAAATTTTCTAAAAAATGTAATAAACTTCTACATGAAAAAATGTGAAATGTTCTTTCTAGAATCTAGAAAAGATTAAAAATCGTTAAAAGTTAGAACTAGATGCTTAACATAAATGAGTTTCTTTTGAGTATTTAATTTACTAAGGTAAGTTTCAAAGAGCTAAATGACTTGTAAAATTGGATTTTAATATAATTGTTTATGGTTTTTTGGATGGTGATGTGGGGAGCTTAGCTGGAAGGTAACTAAAGGAAGGTAAGACCCATTCCAATGCTTAAGTCAGAAAGAGAAGGTAAAAGGTAATAAGGAAGGAGAAAGAGCTTAAAAGTTAAAAAAGAAGAGTTCAAATTAACACACTTGGGTCTTCTTTTACCTTTTATGTGATGCCTACTGATGTGATATGGCAAGTTGACATTTGATGGTCAGTGCATATGGGTAACTAAAAATGGCTAAGTGGCCTAGAACATACACGTATGATGTAGATGCTGGTCATATGTTGACTTGGTGACCATGGTGGTCAATATGGTTGACTTGGCAACTAAGGTTTAACAATGCTAATATTAAAAAGTTAGTTTTTTTATGCTAATTTTGAAAATACTAAGCTTAAAGCAATGCTAAATTACTACTTTCATATCCCTAAGGAGTTAACTTTGAAAACTTAAAGTTTGATATTCGTTAGGAACAGATTTTGAGAAGCCAGGTGCTAAATGTTATAACATGAAAGACCTTTGTCATATTTCTAATGTTGTTTTACTTGGTAAAATATGTGGGTGATATGACTTATTCTTGCTCATGTACAAATTTAATGTGATAACATTCCTCATCCTAAGCTTATGAAAACCAAAAAGGAACAGAATTAGGTGTGTAAATCTAGTGATCATTTCGTTTTCCATGGAGTTGGTACTTAATTTAAGAATGAG